ACTACTCTTCACTAAGGCATATCATGAAGGGCATGATTCGATCTAATATTATGTGCATATAACATTAATTTGAAACTCGTTGGGGTCCAGCTGGACCCCAGGTGGGCGGATGAGGGTTAATGAAAAACTTTTCCCGCTTTATAATTATTCATGTAGAAATTCTACATGAACAACTGTCTTTAGTTGTATTTAGTCTTAATATTTTGTCTTTTTCGTTCGTTTCGTTTTCAATTTATCTAGTATTGTAGTCTTCATAAGCGGATGCCCGTCTGAGTATCAGGATGGGACAAGTTGCCATAAAATCGTTTTCATTTCATTTTATTAGAAGCCCGCTTGTAGCGAGCAGAGAAAAATTTGTCGTTAAGACTCATTGTATTATTCCTCACCACGGAAATCTTTAGTAAAAGGCGAAAGATTTATGCGTTTATGATGAGGAATCAGAGTTATGTAATGATCGACAAGCTTGTGGCTTATAAATGCAAGTGACTGTAAAACAAAATGGGTGAACAGTTCACTATACAATACATACGTTTGACGCCGTATGAAAACACAGAATGGAAAGAAGACTAGAGAAGGAAAAATCATTTCGTGTATATGTGTATTATTAGAAAATAACGTAAGCTCTTTCATGTTAAAGATAGAAGAGCAAACATAACTGGTCGTGTATCTAGAATTTGAATGTTTGTATGATTTTCTTTTGTCTAAGATTGCAATGTCTTAGCATTAGTAAGATTCTTTGTCTACCGATGATCATGTTTGACAGTTTATTGTCGAGGACAGGTATAGGTTTCATTTTACAATTAACATGATTTTCTGACAAAACGATTCTTATATCTATTATCTCTTTATGACATCGCTATTGTTCTTGTGTTCTATTGACAGTTGCCAGTGATTTTCTTGCATATTTATTGTTTGTCAACTAAAGTTGAATTTAATGTATTTTTGGATATTTTTCTTTTGTAACAGAGTAGAAAATATTATACAAAAAGACGTATAATACATTGTAAATGAAATAAAAGTAGGCAGAAAGCCTATGAGTACTTTATCATTTGGCACTTGGTAGCGATTTCTTTTCTCTTTTATCGCTGATTTATTCTTCGAGGATAATGATTGTCCTCGTCAAAAGGACCCATCTCATCTCAGTTTTGACTATGTAACATTTCCTCAACGGCTTTTTTTGAGTTGTACAGCTTGCAATTGTTCTTGATACTGCCTTAACATCTTATCCATTTGCATCAATTGATGGTCATGATTTTTTAGCAATTGTAAAGAATTTTTATAAGGTTTATTTAACGAATCGTGTTTAGCACGTATTTCTTTTAATGATGTTACGGCTTATAAGCGTTCTCTAAAAATTAGTGGTACATTACTTTTATTATAATGGCAAACACAAGTAGTCATAAAAATACTAAACCAGTAAAAAAGGTAGAAGAATCGACAAACGAGGCTATGTAAATGAAAAAGACAAAAATAAAGTTTTAAAACTAAAGACAATTGTTCATGTAGAATTTCTGCTGAACAATTATAAAGCAGAAGAAAATTTTCATTGTAACACAGAGCTGATGAGTTACGATTATAATGTGCACTCGGCTTGGTCTTCAAAAACGGATGCCCGTCCGAGTGTCAGGGCGGTGGAGGCCAACAGAAAGTGCAAAAAGCGTAATAGCCTAATAAAACCTCCTTTTATATTTCCTTTTTCCTTCTCACGAAGGAAAAGTCTGAAAGTTGCCATAAAATCGTTTTCATTTCATTTTATTAGAAGCCCGCTTGTAGCGAGCAGAGAAAAATTTGTCGTTAAGACTCATTGTATTATTCCTCACCACGGAAATCTTTAGTAAAAGGCGAAAGATTTATGCGTTTATGATGAGGAATCAGAGTTATACAATGGTTGAAAGAATGATGGCTTATAAAGGTATTTAACTGTAAAACAAAATCGGTGAATGAAAATAGTGCAAAACATATGAGTCATAAGTGTGACGGACAGAAAGGAGAAAAACACACACTACATTATTTTTTTCTGTACAGAATAAAGATAAGAAATGAAATAATACTGATAATAGGTGACATGTTTTATATTATTAAATTCATAAACTGGCACTTCAAATAAATAATTGACGGCACTTCACTAGCAGGAGGATTCAGAGGTGAAACCAGTATATAAAAGCGAAACTGTTTAGCGATTTTAAATTTCAAACCAGACCGGATCGGTGTTGCCGGTTTAATCAAAAAAATTTGAAGTCTTGTGAGTGCTGTTAGATTTTAGAGATCACGTATATCTAGAATTTGAATGTTTTCACAAACATAGAGTAGCTTGGGATGATTTATGAATTATGGTCATGATAACAAATTTTCTTAATTTGTTTGCTTAAAATTCTCCATTGAAACGAAGTTGTTTAAATTCATTCCAGCCATTTGGGCTGTACTGATCATAATTACGCCATTTGGGGTAATTATAATTAGTAGATACCTGCTCGCTGGAAACTGATTAGTACTGATTAACGCTAATGAATTTTAAGATAACTTTTACATCGATCGATAGGTAAGACTCAGCTCAACCTACCTGTGAAACATCCCTTTCTTTTTGGTGAAAAATAGCTGCAGAGCTTCAAGGATACTGAGAAAATTTGTTATCATGATCATAATTCATAAATCATCCCAGGCTACTCTAGTACATATGCTGAGGAATAGTTTGGATAGAAGTTCATGTCGAAATATTGCTTCCTTAAAAGGTTACAATTCATTTACTCAGAAACTACATGCTGTACGGATAGTGTTGGGCGCATATGTACATGATTCTTGTCACGTAGGTGTAAACAATTTGGTTCAAGTAAACCTTGGTCTTATTTCAAGGAATGAGTACATTTACAGAATCAAAATTTATTTTTACAGTAGATTCTAATTGTAACTCATTGTGAACACCAACAGACAAACTATTTTTCAATAGTAATGTTGGTTCAAATGAACTGGTCGCTGCATTTAATGTTTGAAATTATGTAAAAGGAAATTTTCTATCATCCTGATGTTGATTATTGAATGATTTTATTGTGCATGATAGACATATATTCGTAAAATTCTCAGTCTCGAAACGAATAGTAACTACTCTCAATAAGCTAATAATGATTCTACAAATTCAATCATGTAACAATTAATTAAAGATTGATGCAATTAAAAGGCAGTTGAATAGTATTCAAGACAAAATCATCGTTTTTTTTACTACAAACAAAATTTTAAAACTTACAGTAATTTTACTTTTAAGACCATTATTCATTATTAATTCAATTTATACTAATGAAAGTGATGATAATGTGCGTTAATTAAGTAGATACTTAAATTCGCGTTTTAACAAATCCAAAGCATAAAGAAGAAAATTGATAATATTTGTGTTAAGTTCAATTTATTTCTAGCACTCGCTGATAGAAATGTGTGACAAGTGTAACGTAAACTACTATGATTATTGTATAAATTTGCATTTTTTCTCTTGAATTCCTATGATAAAAGTTGTCGAATTCATAATTTTATCTACTTTTGCGTAACTTTGTTAGACACATAAGACAATGTTAAAAGAAAACTTATCTTAATTGAAGTTTTAGTATAATACCCAATAAACCAACATTGTCCTGTTTCAAAAATAGTCAAACAAACAGATAAACATTCATATTTTAAAATAACAAATATAGAATCAAAGATCTAACACGAATCATACAAACGCCGAGAAAGAAAACCTGTTATAGAATTGAAATGTGTTACATCATGGGAAAAAAACATCAGGAAATATAGTCGTACTACCTGTCCAGAGAAAAATAAATAGTGGGAGAGAATACATTTACAATAAAAAAAATATGAAGGTATAGACAACACAAACACTGGGATACATGTAGGTTCATTAAAAGAGAGAAAACAACAACAATAACAACAACTATAATTTCATATATATTATGAAAAAAATCTGTTGTTTTAGTCTATAAAATTACCATTGTGCAAACAATCGACCGTAAGCAAAAGAAAGAAAGAAAAGAAACAAAAACAATAAAATCTGTTACTTATATTTAACACATTAATTGAGGTTAAAATGTTGCAAGAGGATAATGATAAAGCTCGAATTCGTCAGTTATGAATGAATATTTATTGGACCCATTATGTATGATGTATGAAGATATGAGTTGTTTTTAAAGCATATAGTGAAAGGAAGAAAAATAGAAAATAAAATAAATTTGCGAGTATTCTCTAACTATTGAACGATTTTTTTTTTAAATTTATTTATAACTAAAATATAAATGTTACTGCCAAAGATCTATTGCTGATGTGTTTGTGGGCGTCGTTGTAGATGAGTTCCAAGATGTTAAAAAGTCATTTGTGGGATGTGTTGGTTGGCCGGATACTAAAGCATCTATTGGTGACGTTTTTACATTAGTTAATGGTTGCATATTACGAAATTGCATATTTAACTAAAAATATGAAATTTACCTATCTAAAATTTATTCCTAACCCATAATATTAATTCATACCTGTTCATTTGTGTGATTTTGCATCGGTGACTGTAATGTTGGACTGCTTGAACCGTTATAGTTTGATTTCGATAACATTCCTTGTGGTGAATAGTTTGTCTGCTAAATAAATATAAAATATAAAATAGTTATCTTCTCTACAGATTTTTTATCCTTGATATGTTAATTATTTTAGTCAAGACATATTACAGTTACTTATGATGATAAAGACACATTGTCTACTATAATTCTATTCAAAGAGAGCTTATCTCTTGTAAGAAGTTATATGTTCTGTAGATAAGCTTAGATTTCTGTAATAATAACATAAAATATCTTTCCATTCAAAAGTCTAGTTCAATTCTAACTTCTAACAGAGTTATTAACAAAAAACAGTTATAACATTCAAGTTATATGATTTGATGTAGTTTCTGATGTGTGAAGACTGAATATCGATATTTTATCTATATTCATTCTACTGTGTATATTTACCTGTGCGGGAAAAGAATACCGTGGAAAATTCATCTGTTGGCCACTGTATGGCATTGACGCAGAATGATGGTGATGGTGATGAGGATGAGGATGAGGATGTTGTTGCTGTTGTTGATGAAACTGTGGTCGATTTTGAAAACCAGGAAGCCTAGCTCCAAATGATGATGGTGTTTGAATGACATTAGCTGCAAGAGACAAACGCTTATCTATTAACTGAAAACACTGAACAGTGATTTGTGATAAACGTACGGTTATTAGGCAATATTTGATTGACGTTATTTGTTTGTTGAGATAAAATATTCGATGTTATTGATGATTGTGGTGTGTTGTATAATGCAAGAATTTTATCTTTCGTCAGTTGTGAATTATTAGGATTCATAAGATCGTTTGTTACTGATTTATCGTTTGAAAATGCATTTTGTAAATCTTGTTCAAAATTGTTTGTGGTAACTGCTGCGTCTGGTTGTTTACTTGGCAACGTATCTTTGATAACTGTAGGTTGCGAATTTGATGGAAATAATGAATGCAGTGGATCTAAAATTTCACTGTTGGAAGACGATGAGGTTGGAACTATTGCACTTGGTTCATCTGAATAAAATTAATATCTCAAATCATTGAATGAAGACTTACACTCAACTAATTTCTTTGAAACAGAAGGCATCGATAGTATGAAATAAGATTTAATTATTTTGAAACACCATTTCAACTTTTTCAGCTACTTTTCTTACGATTGTATAGTCTTTTAGAATCCGTAAGCATAACATGATCAACAATTGCATTTACCTAGTTTAACCAAATCTTCAGCAATTTGGTTTGAGTCATTTTTATTCCGACTAGAACGTTCTCCACTCTCGGTTGGTATGGATACGTTACGAACAGGATTGGTTGCTGTCGCTTGAGGTACATATGGTTTTAATTGAGGAATTTGTCCACTAACAGCTTTTTCAAACTAGGAAAAAATATACAAAGAATTTTATATTTTACATCATACAGTTTTACTGGTAAGTTAGTCAACACACTTTATCATTCTCTAACTTTTTTTCTGTACGACGTTTTTCTTCTTTTGGTTCAGCATCGAGTAGCTGAAAAGTAGAAATGATAGAAAATACAATATATTCATCAAAGCTAAAACTACATTTTACAACATGACAATCCATATGTCTTTTCATTACTATGTAACAACAAGGATTTGACGAATAGAAAAAGCTAAGGATAGCATCAAAAGCAACAAAATACGGACAAAAGCATATTTACATCAGGCGATACCGTAATGTTAGGTGGAATCCACTCTCTTGCTATCCATTTTCGTTGCTCATATTTTGAACGGATAAATACTTCCAATGCCCTGCGAGTACATTGTCAAGAAAAATAGTAGAATTATGTCATTCAACTATGAATAATGATCAGGCAAAAAGGATACGAGTCAGCTTGTGGGCGTCGGAATCCATCTGGTAAATGTGCTTCATAAACAGCTCTTGCTCGGCTGTTACCCATTGCCTGCATCGACTAGACAAGAGAAAAGAAGTAGAAAGTCATTTATTTTGTTCGAGTTCACCAAACTTACAGCAATCTGTTCTCCCGTCCACGAATCCAAATTAACCGATTTTACTTTTGATATATGTACTCCCAAATTTCTGTGAAATCCAGCACAACGTATACAAAGAAAGACACCGATATTCCATGATGCCCATCTAGGACCTAAAAAGATTAGATGTAAAATAGATTTGTACTGTAGAAAAGAAAGAATAGCTTTTTTATACTTTTTGCATCACAATCAACACAGTATTTATTATCTTCTTCTTTCAGCATACTACTCAGTATACTTTGATACTTTTCTTGCAATTTCGATTGTTTCTCTCTTTCAGAGCGCAGCATGATTTTCTTTCTTTAGGCTTCTCTAAAATAGAAAAGAAAGCACCGGGACAAATGTTGTAAATTGATTACATTAACAATTATTTGTCTCAAATAAGCATTAATTAATGAGCTGGAACAGAAGTAAAATTGAGATCTTCTGGCTGATAAATAAATTCAGTGCTTTAAAAAAGTTAGGCTAAAGATGACTTTTTGATTCAGTTTTTCGACGTTTCTATCAGCGTTTACCCGTAATTAAAAGAAACGACAGCGGAGAAAGCGATATTTTTTTCCGCAATTTCGCTTTCAGAGACTATTTATCTTCAAATAGCCTTTCCTTCACTTTAAGCACCATAAATTTGATCATAAAAAGACTCTTATTAAATATACTTCATTTTTGTAGGAAGGAAAACGTGTCACAGTGTAGTCCTCTGAGACTATTTTTCTTCTTTACGACAATTTTTTTACAAATTATTCTTGTAGATTTATTAGTGACTGGTATTTACGCCTAAAAGAGCTCTAATGAAGGTGAATGAAAGGTAATATAATTATCATTAAAGATTAATCGCTATCATCATCATCATCATCATCACCATCTAATCCTTCTCTCATTGGTTAAGAAATCCAGGCAATCTTCATTGAAGAATAAGCCTTGATCGACTATATTCGGGAAATGAACTGATTCTTGGCAACAAACTAGTGTAAATACATAAATAAATTGTCCATGGACAGAATGGTAAAGAAAATATCAATGTCTTAAGGTACAATAACTTACACTATAGAGACAGTTGCTAAGAACATGATTAGCGAAAGTTTACTACAATCATTAGCAGGATGAGTCATCAGTAATTGCAGCTGTAATGCAAAATAAAACAATAAATGATGTATTTTCTTTTTATGAAAGCGAGAATGATCAATAAAAGCACCAAAAGCTGTTATAACAACAATGACACAAACTAAACAGAAAGAAAAAGTAACTATAAATAGAAAAGTTAGAATATTGAACAGAGACCTATATATAAAAGAATAAACAAAAATCAACCAATTAACACCGGATTTTTTTGACTGTCAACATGACTCAATTCTACCATAACACATAATCAAATAAAGCTTTTCTGAACGACATTAAAGAAGAAAAATAAATAACTGGCATTTTATTGGAAGACAGATTTATTGTTTATTAGAAAAAGATTTGTCCTTGAATTTCTAACGTGGTCAATTCATAGACACGATTCAGTGCTCTCAGCTTGTATCGACAAACAAAATAAGAGAGAAAAACAGAAAAAAATTTTCAATTCCTCTTACTGAATCCAATCGAATATTGTCAGTAAACCCCTTTCATACATCTGAAATATTGTTTCAGTACTGTTGTAGTGAATTCTTATTTGAAGAAGACACTGCTAAAAAGTATCACCTTAGACCATTTATAGTCGCATTATTTCAACAAGATAGAATTCTATCCTTTTTTAAATCGTAAGAATTCCATAGATCAAGAAATCAACTTGTCACTAGAAACCTTCATATTGCAACAAGTTGCAAAATCTTTTGTAGAACCAGGTATGTATCCAGGGCAAGTTTTTTTTCTTCTATTTATGCGTTTCAGATTTCTTTCGATAATGTTTATCAAACTATTAAAATTAATATCATTTTAAAAGTTGTTTTATAACCTTAATAAATTTGATTATAAGATTTACAACATCATTGCATAATGCTCGAGTATATACTTCATTGATGAGAAGATGTAAAACAAAAAGCGGATGAATACAAGACCTCGAAGTTATTTGATGAAATAATTAACAAAACAATTAAATTTGATTTTTATTCAATACTCTACGATCAACGTAGGAATATCGTCGCACTGTTTGAAACTATTGGCCTTGATTTGTTCTCCGTCATTTAAACATCATTTTATGTAGAACACAGGTAAGTGAGTAAACGTTAGTTAAATAAAACCGTATCAAGTCACTCATTCCCTGTTTTTTCATTGAGATTAGACACATTGAAAATTTTTAAAAATGAAGAAATTGATCGATTAATTATTTAATAGGAAACTCAGATTATTGAAGATTTACCGAAAAACATGTAAACTTCCAGGCAAAATGTGTATTATTTCTCAAAGTACATGAGTGTCAATGCACATTGAATGATAGTAATGACTGGTTTGGATTATACAAATATTTAGACGTAAATGGGATAACTTGAGAAAAATGAATATGGAAAAGGAATGTGAATGGTTTTACATCCATATTGATCAAGTAGAAAAAGACTCATCACTATTAGCTGATTTTAATCCCAAAAAACATTGACAAAATAAGCACGTACACAAATGAAACAGACAAAAAATACAGTTCTAAATTTGTATTTGGGAATTAGTTTTACGAAGAAAGAGAAGGATAGAAAGAATGAGATGTTATGTATCTCATATTATCTACAACCTCATCCTTTTATGAATCAAGCAGTCCTTTATCTTTTAAGCGTAGAGGGAATTTCAGAATAGTGTGTACATACTGGGAAAATCAGATATGTCTCGTTCTATATGGTATACTCGAGAGAACAGTGCTATATTTGTATTTTTGCTTTGTAGAAAAGATAATAGATTTTTAGTCATTATAATTTTGTATTTTGTGATTGTTATTTTTTCATGTTTTAATAATAATATTGTCCTGCACTTTTCGAGTCTTTTTTCTTTAAATGAATTGTTGAACTCAACATGATTTTCATACGTTTGCCAGAGATATCGATTCAGTTCAGGTTCAACTAAACTTACGAGGAACACTATCCTACTGTAACACTCCTTTTTCAATCGTTCATACGTCGTTCGATAGAGGGTATTGGGATAGTAAAAAGCCTAAAAGGGTTCGTACCAATGACTCTTGAAGATCCAATTTTCTGGAAAATCAGTTTTTCAGAAACTCTGAAAAATAATTAAAATTATTTGTTAGTGAGACATGATTGTAGTGCGCAAATTTCTGATTAAAATGAGACATCTCCCAACTCTACACGACCTTTCTTTGCAAAGTTATAGAATTTACAACAAAAGCCCTGAATTAATTTCTTATTTCTGTAGCTTTGAGCTGACAATGAACATTTAGGGCTTTTCTTGTAAATGCAAAGAAAGGTTATGTAGAGCTGGAAAATGTCTTATTTTAATAAGAAATGTGCGGGCTACAATCATGCCTCATTAAGAAATGTTTCGGTTACTTTTTAGAGTTTCTGAAAAACTGATTTTCCAGAAAACCGAGTCTTCAAGAGTCATAGGCACGAACCCTTTTAGGCTTTTTACTATCCCGATACCCTCTATCGATCGACGTATGAACGATTGAAAAAGGAGTGTTACAGTAGAATAGTGTTCTTCGTTAGTTTGTATGATAAAAAAAAACTTATCAGACTAAAAAGTCAAAATTTCCAACTGGAAATTGACTAATGAGGGAAGAACCCCAAGTGGCAAATCGTGTCTTCAATGAGACTAGGTGGACTATATGTAATTGATGACGCTGATTCCAAATATGAACATCGAAGTTGTCCTTAAGCTTTTGTTGACCGATTTTCTGAAAATTGGATCTTCAGATAACCAGGCACTAGATCCAGAAACATTTTCTGAATCAGCCATTTTGTAGAGGGCACAAAACTGTCTATGCTCTATAAGTTTTAGTTTTTTAGGATATCACTGAACAGTGTTATGATTTTTGCAAAATATTCTACTGCAACATTTTTTCATAAAAACCATAGAACAGCTTAGATAGCTTTGTGTCTTCTACAAAATGGCCGATACAGAAAAATTTTCTGGATCTGGTCCCTGGTTATCTGAAGATTTAGTTTTCAGAAAATCGGTCAACAAATGCCTAGGACAATAGTCTACCTAGTTTCATAGAAAAAATGATTTACAACTTGGGATCTTTCCTTCATAATAGACAAATTGTGCCTCAGAATGGTTGTCAGACAGGAAATAGAGAACATATAAATTCTAAAAAACACTATCATAAAGAAAATATGTACACGTATAGTTAAAGAATCCACTCAAGGGCAGTATGAAGAAGGAAGAAAAAATATTTTTATTTCAAAATGTTAACTGTAAAATGTCAGTTTTTGTATAGTTGACCCTAAAAGATATTATCAAATGACAAATACAAATCATGTTCTTCCTCATATGTTTTATTAGAATTTTATAAAAATAGCTAATAGAGAAAATAAATTATTTGAAAACAGAACGAAACATACAAAATGTGTATTATAACATTGTAATCTGTTAAGTATTAGTTGATTATACACGGCGGACAATAACCTTTTTTCACAATAAAAATAGTCATTTTATAATCTTTATTGTTCATGAGATATCCGTCGCTTATTTCGAATCCAATTTCTATACTCAATTTAGGAAAATGTTAATATAAAAACTGTGAAAATAAGAGAATGTATTCAGATGAAAAATAGTTCGAGAGAAATAATTTGAAGTTAAGAACACTATTCGTTGAACTTCAAAACATTTTTATTGCAAAAAGAGTGCGCGTTGAAAAAATTTTCATAAAAAAAACTTGAACAATCTAAAACTTTTGCATGCATATTTTTTAATATAAATTAGACTTTTAACAGAGTTACAATAGTTTTTAGTCACTTTTATTTTAGATCTGAACAAATAAAAACATGAATTTAATACATTGTTGGATTCCTACTGTCTGTCTGCCATTCAGGTTTGTATACCTTTTTATATTCATTTGTTTGTTTTTAAAACAAACGTATTCTTCGAAAATTATGCTTTTAGAAAGATTAGTAGATGTTCATTATAAATTTGGTATATTTTGTTTATGAAAAGATTTGTTTAACTTTAGTTTGAGTAAAACGTTTCTATAACATACGTAGAGACGTTTTCATTTGTTCTAGTACTTTACTTTATATATTTTTTTTTTATCCATGATGATTCGTTAAAAGAATATTTGATAAAACAGTGTATAGAAAATGTTTTTAGGTTTGTTTATTAAATATTATCACGTTCATTTCTATTATGCGCCAGACATATTATAAATGTTGTTTTTTTATTTGACTACCCACATACACATGCTTTTCTAACAGTAACAACTATATCGTTATAATTACTGGAATTTTCTTAAAAATTTTTATTATTAAATTAGATTTAAACTTTCACATATATAATTTTTAACAATTTGATCATGATGATATATAGTTAAGTACAAGTTCTGTTTTTATTTTTAATATATTCTGTAAATATTTGTCAAGTCCAATAAGTACACTATACTTCACACGTTTTCTTTTTTTATTATTTTTAAGTCATTGAATAAATGATCGATAAAATATGCCTTTTGTTTTAACGATAATAGAATGATGTCATATGTAAGATGATGTGCTGCTATATTTTTTTTTTTTAACAAAATTTTAATTTTTTACTAGTAAAAAAAATATTATAATGTAGAGCTGAATTACGTATCAATTGACGTATGAGACAAGTTGACAGAGTATTTTTTCAAAATAAAATAGACTTAAATCTTTCTTCTAATGTAGTATAAGAAAATCAATTTAGTTATTGCAATATTTTCTGGTTATGAGCGTCATTTTTCGAGTCGACATGAGAAGAAACAGGAAAAAATCTTACCTCTAATATTTCTGAAGATATAACATTTTTTTTAAATAAGAAATAATTTACTCAATATCTGAAAGACAAAACAAAATCGTACAGGTGATCATTTAACTAATAACAAAAACTTTTCTAAAAACTCATTTTATTACAATGTTTTTAACTTAACCATTGATCCTCGGTAACTGATCTTGCAAAGTGAACTTGAAACAGTCTTAACTCGTTTTACACTCGAAGAAACAAAATTTTCTTATAAGTAACGACTAGCTTATGATGTCAGCTTACGTTAAAAAAAAAATTCGTTTTTTTTTTTTTTTATTCAACGCAACGTCATTTTGTTATAGTGATTCTACGCTGTCCCACTAATGAACATCCAGGAGTAAAGGGTTAATGAATAATTTCTATTAGAAACTTATTGTTATTACAATATGTTTAAAAATAAATAAATTTTACAACTGATTCATCTCTTAATTCGTAGTTTTAATTTCACAATGACTATCATTCTGTTTCAAGTATTATTAGTCCAATTTATGTAGCTAAATATTGATTATGCGTAAGCATTTGAGCGTATGTATACCTTGAAAGAGAACAACAAAAATAGAAGGATAATTCTTCGAAAGTGAAGGTCTGCGTTTTTCAATAGAGAGTAGTTAAGATTTCTGCGAAGTACACACGTATTTGTGTGAGAAAAAGATAAAAATTTAAATTCGAATAATATTTTTATTTCTGTTCTTTCCTTTTTTTTCTCAGTTGACCATATGCTAATAGAATCCAAAGTATCATCTATCTTTTTAGTATTAAAACCAAGTGATTTATAATATTTATTTAGTATCTAACCCCCAGAGATCAATTCGAAGAAAACTTTTGTTCTTCTCTGCAATTAGAGATACACGAAGTATTATGGATTCATTAGATATCTTAGAATCTAATGAAATTTTTCTTGTTTTTTTTTTATTACTGTTTTTACTTTTTTACAACATGTTCTTTTTTCTTGTATATTTGCAATACTATTCACAAATTTTAAGTATAGATTCTTGGTAGTATTATATTTTGTTTATTTATAGTTAGGTATATTCATGGATAAAATATTTAATCAAGAAACAGAAAACAGAAAACTTTTAATGAATACTTAACCTCTTCACACAATGACACAATGCGTAGATTATTTGCAACAATGAATAGCCACAATAATCAAATAATGAATAATAGTGAGGCTGATCAGATTTATTCATCAGAACAAAACCGATTCCAATCATTTGCAAGGTTTGCATATTTTATTCATTTTTCTGCCCTATATCATTCGTTAAATTGTTTGTTTGTAGTCTATCAATATTTTCATCATTAACACGTCGTCAGTTAGCATTAGCTGGTTTTCATTATCGAAATGAAACAATTTCTTGCCCGTCATGTGGTGTTTCAATTGATATTGACGATTTAGATGTTGATAAAGAGTATGAATCAAATTATTTCAGAAAACTTCATCGTGAAAAAGTATCACAAGTTGGTATTCGATGTTCATTCTTACTAGAAGAAATTGGACAAAATATAAATGATTTATGTCCTTCGTCAATTGATAATCAAACAATATCCTGGATAACAGCTGAAGAACCAGAGTATGGAACTTATGAAGAACGTTTAAAAACATTTTCATCGTGGCCATATCAGAATAATGGTGGAACAGAATCATATGTTACACCAGAGATTATGGTAGAATGTGGCTTTTTTTACTCAGGTTTGTGCTTCTCTCAGTGCAGTGGTGATCCAACATCATGCCATATTTAGGTCCAAGAGATGGTGTCACTTGTTTTAATTGCGGGAATATTTTGATTGATTGGGCAGCACTAATCGGATCAAAAAATGAAAATATTGTACAGTTAGAACATGCACGATTTTTTCCAAATTGTGCGTTTATAACAAGTCTTGTTGGTGCCAAGTATATAGCGAGTGCCGGCTATTTTCATGCCGTATCAACTAAAGGTATGGCTGTTCTAGGAGTACGTTGTACATCCTAAATATTTCCATTCACTCTCTTATAGAACGAGCACAACGCAATCCAATGTCACAACCAATTATTCCAATTTTATATCCTCTAGTCTCGGTACCGTTACATGAAATACCCATACCAAAATCGGTTGAAGACTGTATTTTAACTTATAATGATTGGCCACCAAACGCACCCTTGCAAGCAAAAGCATTAGCACAAGCTGGATTCTTTTATCTCGGTGATGATTTAAAAGTTCAATGTTACAAATGTGGGTTAATTGTGGCTGATTGGCGACCAGGAATGACTGCAATTGGCACACATCGAAAACGTATGGAATATAATTGTGAATTTATTCAAGCTATTGATAGTACAAGAGATGCAAATATTCAGTCGGTCAATGAAAAATGGAGATTAGAAACACTAACTGGATATTCATTTGATTTTGCTAAATCTTCATCATCGCGTTTAACCACAATGAATTTTGACGAACAGGAGAATAAACGAACAAATAATAGCGAAATTGATAAACGTTTATGTCGTGAACTAGCTGCTTGCGGCTTTCATCGTGTTCAAAATAAAAGAATAATACGTTGTGCATTTTGTGGTGTAACCATCGAGCCAAAACCAAATCAATCGATTATGTCACAACATCGAGCAAATGTCAAGCAAATGGCCTTACCCACGGAAAAACAGGACAATTTACTAACTCCGTCACAATATTATTCCTCTGCTGATTGCATTATGCTTCGTTGTCAATGTGCAGCCAATATTCCTATCGCACATCGAGAAATGTTTCCAGAATATCCCAAATATCAATCGATCTTTGATCGTATAACTACATTTCAAGAGAAAAATTTAGAAACATTATTCGGATTTGAAATACGAGATATTGCTGATGCTGGATTTTTTCTTGATGGTATGTAATAATTAAAATTTTTCATACAGAATTCGATTGATTCTGTTAATACTTGCTTATTGATTTTAGTTGAAAAGCATTTACGCTGTTTTCAATGTGGAAATTCGTTGCCAATAAATGGAAAGAGAAAACGTGAAAAGTATGCAGAATACAATATTCAACAATTACATGCACATTTTTATCCAACATGTGAATATATCAAAGAATTACTTGGTGCGAAATACATTGCTCAAGTCTTACATGATTTTCATCGTTCAAGTAAGAATATTGTTCACTCAACAATGATAGACATATTGTCTATTATCTTATGATAGTTAAATAATTGTTGCCTCTTTCCCACATCACGATAATAGAAAGATAATATCAAATATTTTTTTACTTGTATCTGGATTTCCTAATCATCAGACAAAAGTTTTTAGATCCACAAAATACAAAGTTTTTCCATTCTTTTTGCAAACACTTTTTTTCAACAAAGCCACGATGTTAAGATAATATTAACGTTTTCCTACCGCAAGTAAAAGTATTATACTTGTACTTAAAAAATTTTTAGCGTTCACGTTCAGCGCTAAAAAGGAACGTTGAATGTTTGCAGCCCTAACGGTGACAGGGGCCTGGTAGAGCCGTCGTTTAATCCGGAAGTGCTAAAATCCAATAAGACACATTTTGGGATTTTGAGAAGAAACTTCAGTATTGTATGGCAGTCACAGATGACGAATCAAACTATTTAAGATGTTTTCTCTAGGTTCTTCGCGTACTCACTCTTCACTTTCGACCCAAAGTTCCGACATATTATCACCATCCTCTTCAGAAGTATTTTCATCATTAATGTCACCAACAACGACGACAAAAACAAATGATAACAAATCACCAAGGCCATTATTCGATGGACCCTATAATTCTGACTTTACTGATGATTCATCCGACGATGGATATGATACAACAGTTCCTGCTCCACCAACATCTGCTGCTATTGAACCACACTTGAGATCTCCTCGACCGATGTCACAGTCACCCTCTGCTACGACAATGGAACCAAGTCAATGTCTTGAACGATTTGTATCTCCTACAATATTATTGGCGCCGAATTCAGAGGAAAATGCAACAAATTTCATGATTAACCCAATGATAGCGGCTGTTCAAAATCAACAAACACCACGTATAAGAAATGATGATAGTTTATCTGATAATATTGGTGACATATCTCCTTCCCCTCAATCGTCACCCGTTGATGTTCGATTACTATTATGTCATGAAAAAAATCGACGTGATACATTTAAAAAACATAATTTAAAAAAATTTGCTGATGTATCTATCGAATGTTTAGCCTATTGTGGATTTTATTTAAATGGTGAAGGCACTGCATTATTATGTCCTTGTTGTGAAGTGAAAGTAACAGAAAACGACTTTAAATATTTTATGAATCATGGTGATGGAACTGGAACCGATGGTGAGAAATGGACACCGATGCATGTTCATCGTCATACAAGTGGACAATTAATTGATCAAAATCGTCCATGGTGTACATTGGTTCAAAGAGAATCGTTTGGCATTTATGCTAATGTTGCACTCGAAGATAGTCGAATGAAATATCCTGAATATCCAACCTATGAATCATTTGAAAGTCGAATAAAAACATACACAAGTGGATGGATCTATCCTGGTGGCACTAGGCTTAGTAAAGAATTAATGGCATCTGCTGGATTCTTCTATTTGGGAAAAGAAACGTGTGTTGCGTGTTATTATTGTGGTATATATAATTTTCAGAGTCTTGTTAAATCATGATCGAAAAATATTCGCTTTTTATAGGCAATAAACTTAAAAAGTTCGAACCAAGAGATGATCCATTTGAAGAACATGCTTGCTTCTTTCCATTTTGTGATTATATTCAACAGCAACGAGGCATTCATTTTATCCGTCGAATAGTGATGGAAGCTAATAGAAGTAACTTGAGATATAAAATAGTCAATCAAAAGTAAATCATTTTTACTGTTTTTTATTTCTAGTACCGGAAGCTAAACTCAAAATGGAAACAGTTGACGGAAAAGCAATAAAACATATTGTCTGGGATAAAAGTCGTATGTGATTAAAAAAAACTAAGGCATTCATTATATTTATTGAATATTTTTTCATTAGGTTCAACTTCGAGTAAACGAAGACGTGCACCAGTAATGAAACCGAATCAACATAATATGAAAGTTGAACCAAGTTTATCAATACAACCTGAAGATATCAATGATTGCTGCGTTTTGTGTTCAACAAATCCTAGTACACATGAGTATGATTGTGGTCATTGTCAAATATGTGGAGAATGTTTTGCTAAATTACATGGAACACAGTTAGAGCAATGTTTACATTGTTGTCGAAAAGCAACAATTCGACCACGATTGATAACTCCAAAACTCACTTCCTCAACATCACAAATATAACTCATTATAAATAAGTTATTATTGTTTTTGACTTTTTGTCTTCTTTGTACTCTAATCATTTAAAAATGATAAAGTACTTGTCATGTCAGTCTATATCTTCCGTTTTATGTTTTACTTTCAAATTGAAAAATCTTTTTCTTCTACATCAGGTAATCCTTATGACTCTATTTATTTTTATCACTATGTTTTGTTTTTAAGTTTAAAACAGTTATCTCATTCTTTTTCTTTTTTTTCAAAATTTTTGTTTTCAAAAATCGACGCGTTTTACAAACGTCAGAATATCTTATTATTATTGCCATTAGATTCTTTTGTTCCTTCTTTTATACAAACTATTTGAACCAACCTTGTAGATAAAAAAATAAAATGGGTTTAAAATTGTAAGAGAAAAAACTGAGTTGTTCGATAAATTTGGCGCCATGTAACACTAGGATACCTATATGTTTATTTATAAAGAATCAGAGTAATAGAGATACAATTAGCCTACTTTTATTGTAATACGAAGACTACTCAAATGTTAAACACTCTTAGAACATACCACAGTGGGCATATAGGCGGAAGTTTGACTCAAAATCGTAAGTGCACTTTTTTGAGATTTGAATATCGTTATGTATATTTTGGCTAAACACCACACCGATTTAATGATGAAAAAATTTTTTTTCTAGAAGTTTTCTTTGTTCAGAAAATCGGTAAAGAAAATTCACGTACTAATTAGCGCGTTTTTAAAGAAAATGTTGGTTGCGTATTTCGAACAAAGCGATCGAAACACTGCGTTCTGATATTGTCTGGAGCAGAAAAATGGCAACTATATGATGTTGAAAAGAAACTTTTGCTTTATCTTAAAAAATGTGGATAAAAAACCCGTCGTTTTCCCCGGAAAATCCCTTTTCCTCGCTACGTTACTCGTGCAATTGACTTCCTAAATTTTCCTAAACTCTGATAACGTTCAAATTTACATCAAACGTTCATCTCGGTGTCTTGCATCTATAGCGCATGCGGTTTTTTGCTGTTTTTTAACTAGACGAAAATATAGGCTTTTCAAAAGGTAAAGTTGAATTTCCTTATATCAAAACGTTTTTTATCAAGACAAATTATATATATCTGGAATCAGCATGAAAAACTACATCGAGTGATGTATCACTTAGTAGTTTTACAAATAAAAAAGTGTTTTGACAAAAATTCAGGACAAGGTTCTCCCCCTCCCCTCCCGCTCAAAGACTTTTCATCGGAACGAATTTTTTTTCAAATTACTTCTATTAAAATTTGACACATAATAAGACAATATTATGCAAAAATAATCATTTTTTAATTCATAAAACCAGATGTCCGCCTGTATACTTAATATACGAGCACAAATAATTATACTTTAAATTTCGATAGTCGAAGTATCATATTCAGATACGAAACTTATATTCTGTTCATTAGTGCAAAGGTTTGTAATTATACGACCAACAATATGAAATAATGTAACCTAAATGAGAGAAAAACGAATTCTGTTCACATCAGACTGTAGAGCATATCAAGTTCTTCATGTGTACAAGTTATTGGAACAGGTTTTCGCTGACATATAATCTTTTTTTTTTCATTTCGAAAAATATTTTATTAGTGTCATTTTAACTAGATAAAAAAACTGAAATTTTTGTAACTCAGCGAAGACTTGTTCCAATAACTTGTAGATAGTTTGATGTGCTGTACAATCTAGTTTGAATAGAATTTATTCAGATGAAAGTTCATGATGAATTTCTAGAGATTCTAAAATCAAACAGAGGTTTTAGACGATCGTTGATAGTCGAACATATATCCGATGCGTATTTAGCATAAAAAACCTATCCATAATCAAGTAGGCTACTAGGAAACGTCGAAGTGATACTCGGGAACTTCATTCCTAAGATGGAACAATCACTAAATGCTAGCACCTTTAATAATAACATACATAATCCATTCTATTATCATTTGAGAAGAAATAAACACCTATATCAAAAAAAATTTATATTTAATATTAACGAAATTAACAAAAAAAAACAATAATTTATCGGACTCTGAACACAAAAATTTCAATAATCCATTTAAATCGACAACCTGTATTCTATATACGATACTTACACCGGTGTTTACTAATCATTTTGTTATGTACAATATTTTTTTTTTAATATAAAATAACATATTTTTCTCTTAATTTTCAATCACAACAAAAAGCTACATAACTTCTATTATAAATTAATCCTTTTTTACATTTAGGACAATTTTGTGTTTCAATTGTCCATTTCTGTAATAGTGGAATTATGCATCTAAAATTGGATAACATATTTAATCAATATGAAATGATTTATGAAAGATTAAAATTACCTTTCATGAAATATGTGTGTACAAGGAAGAATTTGAAGGGTATCTGGATGAGATCCAATTAATTGATTACATATACAATATAAATCCATTTCTTTAAATAATTGATAACTAGATTCACATGCTTTTTTTGCATCATCTAAACGATTTTCCGATAAATATATCATTTCACTTAATAAATAACAACGAGCTTGCATCAATTTATTGCCGATTGTTTGAGCAATTGACAAAGCTGTTGATACTACTTCAACAGCCTAAACATATAAAAATAGAATTTATTAAGTTTTTGAATATATCGAACAGTAACTATAAATATGGCGAAAATATCGGATCTGGAAGGTATTAGTTGTGTAAACAATTATACTCTATGAAATCAGAAACATACAGTAGTTAGAAGAAATCGAGAATGATTGTACATTTTTTGTCGTCTTAAGAAACTATATTAGATCATGAAAATGAAACATATTATCTGTATATTTTCAATTCTAACTGTTGAGTTTAATAGAATGGACAAATTTCCAGAAGACTTATATTACAGAGCTAATAGTGATGATATTTGATAAGATTTATTTTGATGTTATTGTGCTTGATCATGCGCTACGTTTGTTTATTTGTTTGTGATCGAAACCGTTTAATTATTCTATATATGTCTACTATAAATAGAGATATTGTGCCATTATAACATTCGATATAGAAAAAACAAACTAGTTTTACCCAAAACTTCAAATAGTAATAATATTATTATATATATATATACGTGATGTGATGTGATGTGATGGTAGTAGGCGAAACAAATATCATCATACAAGAAAGATGATGTTCCATACTGAACAGATATAATATTGTGTTCTAATCTAGCGTATATTGACCAGACACTAACATGTTAATTTAAAAATTCATCAGGAAAATAACAGTAACAAAATTCTTTATTTTGAATGACATCAACAAATATGTTGTTCTTTTTTTTTTTGATGATTAAATATTTCTGTATCTTGTATGACATCCAAAGAATTTTAGAGAGAATAAATAACAAAATAACTAACAAGGTTTTATAACGACTAGGCCTAATGTTTATAATCTAACCTCATTTGACATGAAAAGAAAAGATTATATGTTCTCTCTTACCATATGTTGTTGACCTTCTAATTTGATCAATGCTTTTGCTAAACATAACATTGCAAGTGTATAACCGTAACGATCACCCATATCTTGTAACATAGGAAGTGCTGCTTGATATTTTTTACATGCCGTCTTTAAATGAAAAGAATAAGAAGAAAAAAAATCATATAGTACCACATATTTACAATAGGAGATTGACTAATAAACCACTAATAATTTATTTTTTATTGTTATTTTTGTTTTTTTTTTCATCATCAAAATACTCTGTAGTATTAATAATATATGACTTACTTCAGCATTATCCTTTGATCGTTGAATATCACCAAGAACAACTAAACATTTGGCTTGAATAGGTCGATCACCGATAGCACTCGCAGCACTCATAGCTTCCTAAATATTAGAAAACATATGATACAATCGACAATAATAAAATATTTAAATTTTTAAAAAAATTTTGAACTAATTTAAGAGAATGAACTATTTTAAATATGATATATAGTAAATTTTTATTTGTGAATATTTACTTCAACACATTTTGTTGCTGTATCATATTCTCCTAATAAACGATAGGGTGTAGCTAATTTTAATTTTGTTAATCGTACAAATTTTGTTGCCGTATTAATATTATCTTCAGTTGAAAATTTTGCATTTGATATAGCTAATTGAAGTGCTTTTTCTTGATATTTTAATGCTTTTGGAAAATCTTTTAATGCAAGAAATACTTTTCCCATTGTACTAAGTACTTGTATTTCCATTACATAATCATCATGATCACGAGAAATTGATAATGCTTTATCAAGACATTCTAATGTTTTAGAAAAATTACAAATACCAATGTAGGCATCAGCCATTGCAAGATAAGCATAACCATGAATACGATCATTTGAACATGCATGTTGTAAAGACGAACGACTATATGAAACAGCTTTAAAATAATCGGCAAGAATTTCATTAGCACGTGCCAAATTTAAATATGCTTGTGAACGAAGTACATTATCATCAAGTTCATGAGCAATATCGATTTGTTGAACACTATATACTAAATAATCACGATTTCGTCCACGATCACGACATGCTGATGCAATATAACCAAGTGTAGTAAATTTTAAATGTTTATCTTTCATTTTATGAATAGCTGTTTTCCATTTTTTAATTGCATCTTCATAATTTTTTTGTGTATATAACACAAGACCTTCATTCACTTGTCGTTTAACCATTCTTTGGCCCATTACAATAGAAAAGAATAAAATTCCATACGTAAAACAATAGTTTGAAAATAAAAATTTTATCCTAGAAAATATAATATATTTTTATTGTTAGATAATTCAAATATAGAAAAATAAATGTAATTTAATAGAAAATTTTTCACTTCTGTACAAGAGAAGACAATCTTTTTTCTTTGTTTTTATAAGATCATTGTTTGAAATTATTTTAATTGAATAAATTTTTAAAAAATTATAAAATAATATTATTTAATTTAATTTTTAGTTCTATCTAACTTTTTAAACTGTTTCTTAATATATTTACAAAAAAAAAAAGTCTATGTAGATCAGAAAGTATCAAGTAAGTTTCTATGATATTCAAGTTTTTTTTTTTTTTTTTTTTTTTTTTTTTACCAATTGCAAAAAAAATTTGTCAATTTGTGAATTTTTTTTGTATAACCAAAATTTAATAATATTTTTTTTAAAAAAAAAAAAATTTTTTTTAATTTTATAAATAATATAAAAAAAAAAAAAATTCTATGTTCTAACCAATCTTAAAATTACTTTTTATTTTTATTAATTTTTTTTTTTTTTTTTTTTTTTTTTTTTTGACGAATTCCTAGAAAAATGTGTCAATTTCTCACTTTAGTTAGTATACCCAAATATTAAGAATAGTTTGTTAATCATAAATAAATAGTTTTTTAAGTTGTATTTTGACGTATAGAATCATAATTAGTTTCAAAGTCTATAAATCAATAAATGAATGAATATGAATATACTAGAGAGAGAAAAATTTGATGAAAACAGTCCTCTCACATAAAGATATCGTTTTTCCTCTGTCGATTTTCTTTGTTTGGAGACTTATTATACTGAAAATGATAATAAAGGGAAGGGAAAAAAACGAAAAAAAAAAATTGTATTGTTATTATGTTGATGTAAGAAATGTAAACACAAAGAAGATAGACAGACAAATAGATACACATTATACACATACTGTTACTCTATCATCATCATCAAAGATTAAAAGGCAATAGCAGGTTCATTGTAACCTGTTGTAACCAAACATCAATCTCTCTTGTATCTTTTTGTTTTCATCTTACTCTTGTTTTAAACATCTATCTCGTTTCATAAAAATATTCATTTCTTTGTTGTTGTTGTTTTTTGTGTGCTAATTTACATAGTCTTTTTTGACTTGTAGTTTAAATTAGATAAAATATTGTAACATTATCATTAATTAGAAATATAAATTTTATTTTTGAATTTTATTTTTTTTTTTCATTTTTTAAAATAATATGATCGATTTTCTATTTCAAACAACAATAGATTAGATATCTAATTTATTTTTGACACATCTGTTGTTTAAAGAGATGGTTGTTTGAACACTTCACAATGCATCTGTTTCTATTTGTATATGATGGTTTTATTTTGTTTGTTTTTTCGAGGTGTGAAGTTGACAGTTACTGTAGTATTCTCTAGGGAGATTGAATAAAGAGAATATGTTTTATACATTTAGAACAAAATAATATTATTTTGAAAATAAGCGAGAAAACGGAAATCATAGAACACTACTATTCATTAGTTAAATAACAATTAAATTCTTTTGATTCCAAATAAAATAATCGAATATTATTCTCTCTCTTTTTCTGTTTTTGTACGGGTTTGAAAATGTCCAACAAAAATAGAGAATAAATTTTCTCCAAAAATTAGTAGTATAAAAGAAAGTTTTTAAAAACTAAAATATTTTGTTTTCTTATAAGTCGAAAAAAAGGTTGGACGACGTTTTCTTTTTTTTTTATATTGAAATGAGCTGAAGATCACAACCACTTTAAAGAATGCATAGTTTCAAGTGGGTCTCTATAAACTAATATTTACTTTTAGTTAGTATCCTTTGTTAGACAATAGAAAGGAAATGCCAAAGTGTTTAATAAAAAAAAAAAAAAAAAAACACAAAAAAAAAAAGTTTTTCTAATGAAAATTATTTATTATTTGTAGGCATATGTTAAAATTGAGTAATGAATAAATATGTTCTCTAGAGATAATTAGGAACTCGTACTAGCCATTAAAAAAAAAAGAAAATTACGTACCGGAGGAAGAAGATATTTATTTTTTATGAGTATCAAACAAAACGTTCGAACGATTAGATTATCATCACGTACATTAATTAATCATCAAATGATAATTTTCTATGAACTATAACTATGTTTGAGTTAGTTGAAGTTCTAATACTATTTAATCTCTCTTAATGATATTTATGTCCAAGCACTTATTCTTTTCTCTTTCTTATTTTTATATATATATATATATATAGAGAGAGAGAGAGCTTTTTCTTGAGCAGCACTATATGAAATTAGATTTTTCCATTACATCCTTTTTTTTTGTTTTTTGCGAAACGTCTAATGCAAATCTTATGTCAATACAATTGTGATTTGGAATATAAATCGCATACACACACACCCATACACTATATATGTCTGTTTTTATCTTTCGTTGAGATTTTTTGATTTTAGTTTTGAGACACACATATTTCTTTTCACAATTACTATTAAACGATTCGAATATTAATAATAAGTTCTTTCTTACCGTAGTTAGTTTTGTATTTTTTCAACTATTAAAATTATAAAAATAGAAAAACAATGAGAATGGATAGTCGAGTCGATGTTTATACGCATAGTCAATGAAATAAAACAGAGCGTCATGCTCTTTTAGATAAACAAATATTCAGTGAGAAGATAAAGTAATCAAAATGTTGGAATAAAATTACTATAAAAGTTGGGCGTTTTTTTCTATGTCATGTATGAAAAAAAAAAAAAGAAGAAAACTATACCAACTAAACTATAGCAATAGGAGGAAATTTTTGTCTTTAGAATGATAATACATGGTTATCTAAAAAAAAAAAAAAAAAAACAAAATCAACAGAACTTTTTTCTAAGCTCTTTCTTTCTAAACAATTTTATACGACCTTTGTTGTACGATCATTAGTTTGTTAACATTATTATTATTACTCTTATTTTTTCTAGAATTTCATATCGTACATATATATCGTAGTTATGCTTTTAATATATTTACGTAAATTTCATTTACATTCTAACTCTTTATTTAATCAATATGACTTTTTCTATATATGTGATCACATATTCTCAAGAGAGTTTTTTTCTTCTCTATTGTTAAATAACATTTGAAAAATATATAGATAGATCATTATTCGACAACATGAGACAAGATTAAACATACTATAGTTTAATATGTTTTTAATATACTACAATATTATACTCTAATCAACATAAAGGTATGAGAGAAAGACAAAAAAATGTTTTAAAAATCTGACAAAAAAAAGATTTTTCTCCCTCTCTCTCTCTCTCTCTCTCTCTCTCTCTCTCTCTCTCTCTCTCTGTTTTTCTTCAAGGTATGTATCATCTCTTATGTATGTTCATAAATTCAGTATTTTACAAATAGTGTTATGAAGAAGAAGAAGAAAAACAAAAAAAATGCTTAACTTCCGTTTTTAAAAAACTACTAGAACTTATTATTTTTTTTGTGCACTCTATGTTGCATGTTATTGTGTTGCGCATCTTTTTAAACAATATCCGGTAGATAATTAATATCTATGATAAGTTGTTATTTTATCCGATTGAATTTTATGTTTTAAAAACAAAAAACATTTAACAACATTGAAAACGAAAAAAAAACAACAACAATAGAAAACTTACTGTTTAAAAATGAAATAATTGTAGAAATAATAATCAAATTCTTTCAATCTGTTGCTGTGTTTAGATATTTAGTTTTTCGATAAGTGACGGTCATTAATTCGCTCTCTTGTTCTACATAACTCTCTCACACACACACACATTTTTCTTCTTCCTCTTCTTGTTCTTGTTCTTGTTCTTGTTCTTGTTCTTGTTCTTTCTATGTGAATATATAAATATAGAAATCAATTTTCCGAACATTTCTCAGCTAACGTTTCTCCCGAGTATTGTTCTTTCCGCCTATTATTTATCTTTTTTTCTGATTTCTTTTTTTATAATTTTTTTCCTTTTTTTCGGATAGATACTTCTTCATTCTTCTTTATATGCACTGAGCATTCCTTTTTTTTTTTTATTTTTTTTTTTGCTGTCTCTTTCTTTCTCTCTCTCTCTCTCTCACTTTTTATCATATCTTAAATGGGATTTTTTTTTTATCCTAAGAAGATGAGATAAGTTGAAGAGTGATGATCGGGAGTAAATGTGTATGTACTTTAATATTTGTGTTTCTCATATAGCTAAATGATAGATGCAAGAATTGCTCACCTCATCACTTTTTATTCTTTTAAATTAATAAACTTTGAAGCAGATAATATTTACATAAAAAGAATAAAAAATAAAAAGTAATTAGAATGTCTTTAAATTATCTAGATTTTACACAACAGTTGTTCACTTTTTTTCTTTAAACTCTATTATATTTGACTTTTACAAATAACTGGAAAAATTTGATCAACTATCTAGATATCCATCGTTTCCGTTCTTTAATTTGCCTTGTTTATACGCTATATATAGTCTACCTTGCTTCTTTTTTTCTAATTCAGGAAATAAATGTAATTTTAATTGCAGTAAATACTCCTATTTCTAGCCTTCATAAATAGCTTTCTCTCATTTCTTATTCTTTTTTTTTTTTTTTTTTTTTTTTTTTTTCTCTTCTTTTCTTAGATTCTTATTTTATGTGCAGTTTATAATAAACATGTCGTGTTGATTGAATCAATCCCCGTTATTCAAAATTAACTGGCTCATTTACTGACAGCTGTCCAAAAGTTCAAATAGTCGACTGTATAATTATTATTACTCTAATATTTAATTTCTTGGTGACAAGTAAGTGGCAATAATTTTCTCGATCAAATTTAATATAGAGATCTCTTATCATACAAATTAGGTGCGTGTCTCTAGTGTATTCCTTCAGTTTTATAAGTATATAATAAATTTCTTCTCTTTTTTTTTTTTTTTTTTTTTATTTTTTTTGGTCCCTTTTTTTACATTTTTTTTAAAAAAATCGAAGAAGAA